AGAACACAAGCAGGGGGAGCAGCAGGCAGAGGGAGAAGCAAACTCCCTGCAGAGCAGGGACCTCGATGCAGGGCTCCATCCCAGGACCCGAGGATCATGACCTGAGATGAAGGCAGAGGCTTAACCAACTCAGTCACCCAGGCGTCCCAAAACTTTTTTTTTTAAGATTTTATTTATTTGAGAAAGAAAAAGAGAGAGCGAGGGAACACGAGCAGGGGTAGGGGCAGAGGCAGACAGAGAAGCAGACTCCACACCTTACAGGGAGCCCAATGTGGGGCTCAATCCCAGGACACTGGGATCATGACCTGAGCTGAAAGCAGACGCTTAACCAACTGAGCCACCCAGGTGCCCCTCTAGAATATAAAACATTTTTATACTACTATTCTGCTCATCAGGTGTAATCTATAAAAAGTGTTTTGAAACGGCTACATAAATGTAAAGTCATCATTCAGTAAACTCTGTGATGGTGGTGATGATAAAGCTATGAATGAGTTTAAGAACTGAGTGTTTGGGGATAAGGATGTAAGAGAGGTGTGGGGAAGGCACACTCTGCTTCAAAATGTGACCTGTGGCCAAAGATCTGGTTTTAGGCATCTCATGCACCCACATGAATGAGTACCCATTAGGCAAGTGGTGTGCATCAGAAACACCTAGGGAGCTCTTCAAAACATATGGCCTAAGCCCTTCCCTTGAGATTCTGATTCAGTAAGTCTATAGGATCATGGCATGTATGTATATTTTTAAAAAGCTCACCCAGCAGTCTAGGCAGATTCAGACCACCTGGAATTTCTGTCATTTCTTGGACATATATTTTAATCTTTTATATAGTATAAAAATCTTACCCCACCAAAATAAATCTTGATCTTTTAGATACTGAAGTCAACCATTTTAACAAAACTTAAAAAAAAAAATACACCCCTTGCTCAAGGCAGAACTACAACTAAACTATGACTGAAAGATGGAGACCTAATTGGTTTTGACACTTCTTTTTTTTAAGATTTTATTTATTTATTTGAGAGAGAGAGAATGAGAGATAGAAAGCACGAGAGGGAAGAGGGTCAGAGGGAGAAGCAGACTCCCTGCTGAGCAGGGAGCCCAATGTGGGACTCGATCCCAGGACTCCAGGATCATGACCTGAGCTGAAGGCAGTCACTTAACCAACTGAGCCACCCAGGTGCCCGGTTTTGACACTTCTAAGGGAAGAAGATTCAGGAATTATTATCTAGCACCCACTCTAGAACCAACCTTTTCATCATTTTAAATATTATACTTGACAGTAACTGTAGAGCCTCAGCCATTATATTTGATGATAAGGGACAAACAGCTAAATGGTAAAAGCATTCCCTCATATTGTAGGGCCACACAGCTATAATCTGAATACTTCCCAATGAATCTCTTTAATATTGTAGTTGAAAGAAAAACAAGTGGTTCTGGGTATGTTGGACAAGTCATTCTGACAAGCCCAACTCTCTTTCTTAAAGCGCTATAAACTATATCACACATTCCAAAATTAATTGTGTCCAGGAATGTAACACTGTTAGAAATATAGGTTCTTGGAAATAATGCTTCATTAGGCAGTAGTTCTTCCTATTCTCTGATAAGTTGCAGTGTTTATGTGAGTTGAACACCTTGCTGTTCTGTTAATGACAGCATTACTCCTGTGGCAATGTCCGGGAACTATGTAAGTATCCATCTGCACAGATATTATAAAAAGTAGATTCATGGGGCACCTGGGTGTTTCAGTTGTTAAGCGTCTGCCTTCGGCTTGGGTCGTGATCCCAGGGTCCTGGGATCAAGCCCCACATCGGGCTCCTTGCTTGGTGGAAAGCCTGTTTCTCTCTCTCCCACTCCCCCTGCTTGTGTTCCTGCTCTCCCTATCTCTCTCTATCAGATAAATAAATAAAATCTTTAAAAAAAGAAAAGTAGATTCACACTATATAGCTCAGAATGCCACTTGCCTTCCTGCATGGAATCACTTTTTCCTGCTGGGGGGGTAAGTGGCAGGCATATCAGTGATCAAGGAGGATGAACTGACATTTTCTGTCTCTACAAATACAGTCCTTAGCACCGGTATGGCAATGTTAAAAAAGAAGAAATGGGGGGTGCCTTGCTGGCTCAGGCAGTACAGCATGTGACCTTGATTTTGGGGTTGCGAGTTCAAGCCCCATGTTGGGCCTAGAGATTACTTTAAAATAAATACATACATACACACTTTAAGGAAATAAGTTTTAGAAATCTCTAGGAGACCTTGGGGGGAGTCAGTTTGATTTTTTATTTCCATCTCAAGCAGTAGTAGCACGGTTAGAATTCCTTTATCTCTAAGCCATTCTGCTGAGTATTTTCCAGGTTACTCTTGCTTCAGGAAACTTGGATGGATATGGCCAGGAGAAATCGAGAGGAAATAGCTCCCCAGAATTCAGAAAGAGCTGAACCCCAGTAAATTCATTTCTAAGAATTTATTTTTAGGAAATAACTGATTGGTATACAAAGTATACACATGTGTATACACACACACACAGACACACATACTTCTATATAAAAAATAAGTCTAGAAAGATACATATACCAAAATCTCAACAGTGATTTTCCATGAGCAGTGGAATTATGAGTAATTTTTTTAAAAAATATTTTTACCTGTATTCTCTAGTATTTCTTTAATACATATGGACCTTGTGTAATAATTAGAGAAAGGATTGAGGTATTTCCCAAAAGTTTTAAGTACTTCCAAGTACTGGGAAAACAGCTATGCCAAACATGAAACTTTTTGAAGAAAACCAAGTAACAGATGATATAATTTCATATTCCAAACTAACCGACTGACTGCCTCTGTGAAGGAAACCTTTAAAAAAATATTACATGCCTTTTATTTTTTCTCAATAATTTACTCTTTCTCCACTCCATAATCATTTTAACACTTCCATGTCTACCTAGAGAAAGACAATTGATTAATACTTTGGATACTTACATAAGGCAAAAACTGTATACCTGCTTTCTTTAACACTGACGATTCTGTTTTAAAATTCCATCTACTTCTGGTGAAATAAGTCAATCAGAGAAAGACATTTTTTTTTTTCTTTACCCTCCTCACTGATATGAGGAATTCTTAATCTCAGGAAACAAACTGAGAGTTGCTGGAGTGGTGGGGGGTGGGAGGGACGGGGTGGCTGGGTGATAGACATTGGGGAGGGTACGTGCTATGGTGAGTGCTGTGAATTGTGCAAGACTGCTGAATCACAGATCTGTACCTCTGAAACAAGTAATGCAATATATGTTAAGAAAAAAAAAAGAAGAAGATAGCAGGAGGGGAAGAATGAAGGGGAGTTAATCGGAGGGGGAGACAAACCATGAGAGATGGACTCTGAAAAACAAACTGAGGGTCCTAGAGGGGAAGGGGGTGGGAGGATGGGTTAGCCCGGTGATGGGTATTAAAGAGGGCACGTTCTGTGTGGAGCACTGGGTGTTATGCACAAACAAACAATGAATCATGGAACACTACATCAAAAACTAATGATGTAATGTATGGTGATTAACATAACAATAAAATTTAAAGTAAAAAAAAAATTCCATCTACTTCTAACCCCTCTTACCCCAATGTCTAAAACCCTATGTCCAGAAGAGTAAAAATTAAGACAGACATCTCTTCCCCCCCCACAGCTGATATGAACATAATACATTTATGAATATGTATCATTTGTTTACAAGCATTTTTTATACAGTTATGCACGTAATACACACAGAGAACAGTTTAAATAGAGGCCATCACCTCGACAATATGATTACTAGTTTCAAGGCCTAGAAAATGCAGCTCACCATGTAAAAATATCTCACCACGAGAAATCAGTAATTTTCAAAGCTGGTAAAACTCAATGTCAATTCAACTTTTTTTTTTTTAAATGAGGCTATAGGTAGGTTGATAGGTTAGGGAAATACTTAAATTAATACTAACTGGAATGCTAATAAGCTTACCTTACAGCTTTGAAAAACTCTGATTTCTTGTGTATTTCAGTGGTGAGCTGCATTTCCTGAATCTCAGCCGATTTCCCAGCAGGAATTCCAGTCTGATGAAGAATCAGCAAAAGGAAGCCCTCACTGAGAGACACACTGGTATCATTCACTGAGTGGAGATAGTGAAAGAGTAACATATTTCTAAAGGCAATTTAGATTATTAGTCTATATACTTACATAGTAAATACAGATTTAACTTCCCTTGGCAGAAGCAACAATTAATTTCCCTTGAAAATCTGACTGCTTTTTCTACAAAGCATTTGGTTTTGCCCTACCTACCTCTTTGGAATGGTATTCATTTACCACAGTTCACCCCTTAACTGCCTTTTTATCATTGTTATCACCTCTCAAAGCTGTGAAAATCAAATCTGGAAATCTAATGTAATCTACTTAGCAATATTTTTGTTAAATGAAGTGAGCATTTAGTACTCTCAAGAAAAACATGTTTTCTTTTTTTTTGAGTAGGCTCCATGCCCAACACAGGGCTTGAACCCACAACCCTGACATCATGAGTCTAATGCTCCACTGAGTGAGCCAGCTGGGTGCCCCAAGAAAAACATGTTTCCTAAAGTGTCTTTAACATAGCAGTTTACAGGGAATCAATCGTTTGACTGACCTAGCAACTATGTCTTAGAAAGTAATGTAACTTTTCTTTTAAAATATCCTGAAATACATACTTTTCATTGATAATTCTGAATTGCAAGACTTACTGTATTTATTACTCTAGATAGTGCCATCGACACAGTACCATTAGCCACATGTACCTTTTTAAGTTTAAAATTTAGTTAGCTAAAAAATAAAATAAAATAAAACATTAAATTCTTCAGTTGTACTAGCACATTATAAGTATGCAATAACCACTTGTGGCTGGTGGCTACTGTATTGGGCAGCACAGATCTAGAACACTTACATCATCAAAAAAATTCTATTGGATAGCATAGTTCTAAGTAAAGCATCTAAAGAGAGAGACAGTTATTATAGTTAAAAGGGCTTACCTGGTCTGAGGAGGTGTGGGTGTGTAAAGGGGCTGGGCTGGCCTAAGTACCGGTTTGGAATTCTCCTCTCTGGGATGGGCTGGAGGGAGTAGCTTCGCTGAGAACATGACAAGCATCCTGAAGGAAAAATAAAGTGAAATGGAACAATAATGCAGAAAATCCTCACAGTATGTATACATTGATCTATCTCCAGCAGATGGATGCTTTAGAAAAATGCAAGTTAGGATCTCCTTCAATATTTTTATTGCCCTTCCTCTGTGCCAGTCAGGGCCTGTGTTGGGCCCTAGGAATACAAAAATGAGATAATTTTTACTCTTAGCAACCTCAGTCTACTGCAGCATAATAGAGGTACATACACATAGAGTATGACTATGGTATGAATAAGGAGCTATGGGAACAGAAGGAAGGCAACAAACAGCAGCAAGGAAGGGATAAGGGTATTTCACAGAGGTAGTGTGAAGCTGTGTCCTAAAATTCAGAAAAAGAGGGACACCTGGGTGGCTCAGTTGTTAAGCATCCGCCTTCGGCTCAGGTCATGGTCCCAGAGTCCTGGGATTGAGCCCTGCATCGGGCTCCCTGCTCAGCGGGAAGCCTGCTTCTCCCTCTCCCGCTCCCCCTGCTTGTGTTTCCTCTCTTGCTGTCTCTCTCTCTGTCAAATAAATAAGTAAAATCTTTAAAAAAATAAAAATAAAAAATAAAATTCAGAAAAAGAGAATTAACATTCTTATTGAGAATATGTGAAGTATGAGAAAATATGCACATGCTATCTCATTTAACTTTGGAAATGTTAGAGCTAGATTAAATCATGTCTGAAAAATGCTTAATCATGGTATACAACAAACACTATTATTAGCATTCATTCAACAAGATTTAAGCATGTGACTGGAACACATGCTAGAAAAAGACATGAGCAGGAGGACTATTTGCTGTGGTCTTCAAAGAATATACAGTCTACTGGAGGTAAAACAAAATGACATTATAACACGACATGGTGAACACCAGAGTGGATTCATTCACAAGGTTTTTTTGAGGGCAGAGACTAATACAATGTTGCGGGATGGGTACAAAGACAAAGATAGGCACACAGTGCTCTGGGGAACACAGAGAAGCACACAAAAGGTGCTGGCGTGGGACTGTAGAAGCAGGGGATGCCTACCCTGAATAAGAATTACTTAAGTGAAGGGCATCTGGCTGGCTCAGTTGGGAGAGCATGCAACTTGATCTCCGGGTTGTAAGTTAAGAGCCCCACGTTGGGTGTAGAGATTACTTAAAGATAAAATCTTTTTTAAAAAATCAGTCAATTGAAAGAGAAATGGGTCTGGAAGGTGTTATGAATGAGATTAAGAAAGGGAAGGCATAGAAGGCACTGTGTGTGTGTGTGTGTGTGTGTGTAGCAGGGAAAAGAGTTTCAGGTCAGTGTTGCTGGAGGAAGATGAAAAGATTAGAAGACTGGGAAAGGCTTTATATGTATACCAAATTACGGAATTAGGATTTTAACTGCCATCATCATGGCTTTTTTACAAATAAGGAACTGGATTCAAAGAATTTGTGCCATGTTACACATTACTGGGGAAGCTGGAGTTCAAACCTAGGGTTTTTTTGGTTGTTGTTATTTTAGACTTTATTTATTTGAGAGAGGGACAAAGCGTGCACCAGCAGTGGGAGGGGCAGAGGGAGAAGCAGACTCCCCACTGAGCAGGGAGCCCTAGGCCGGGCTTGATCCCAGGACCGGGGAACATGACCTGAGCTGAAGGCAGACGCTTAAGTGACTGAGCCACCCAGGCCCCCCCAAACCTAGGTTTATTAAACTCCAAAATCTTTGCTCTTATCCCTTCACCCTGTTGCTCAGTAGGCGTTCTCTGCTGATCCCAACAACACAGTCACTACTATACAATCTCCTCGTGAACGTACAATCACTACAACAGGAGGATGTGATGTCTGGATCAAGTTAAAGGTTTTTGTAGGGACTATGCAGTATGAATGAGGTGTATACATCTGGTGAGTGAGGAGTCTTAAATGTTAACTCTGAATTAAATTTACAGAGGATTACTGAAAAAAATTATAGCTTCTTGGATGATTAGAAAGACAAAATGGTAAAGGTTTCTGGGCAGTATGAAAATAGTTAAGAACAGTGAAAAATGAGAAAAGGAAAAACAAGTATTTCCTGGAATCTAGCTTTAGAAAATGTACAGAATACATATTAGGGAATATGCCCAGTCTATATATATTGAAAGCTTAACAAAGATGAGGCAAGTGATTTACAGAAATACAGAGGACGGAGGAACTAGCTAGAGGACAACATAGGAACACAATCAACAAAGTCTTAACGTGGGAACACTACAGGACAAACAACTCTGTTTCTTCCACATAAATTTTATGGCAGGTAGGGCTGGTAAGAGATGGAAAGAGGAATCTGTAGGTTAAAAAAAAAAAATCTTAAAAATTATTATCAATTATAATTATGTGAACCTTATATGGATCCTGATTCAAGCAACAAATTGTAAAACAAGTATCCACTCATGCTGTTTATTATATTTATGAAAAAATTGGAAATTTGAATAATTGCATATTTGATGGTATTTGGGAAGTAATGTTTACTTCTTTAAGGTGTGATAATAGTGTTGTGGTTATGTTATTTTTAAAAATTATTTGTGGGGTGGCGTACAAGCAGGGGGAGCAGCAGAGAGGGAGAAACAGGCTCCCCACTGAACAGAACAGCACCCCCATGTGGGGCTTGATCCCAGGACCCCAGGATCACGACCTGAGCCAAAGGCAGATGCTTAACTGACTGAGCCATCGAGGCACCCCTGTGGTTATGTTAAAAAGGAAGAACCTTACCTTTTAGAGATATAAACTGAAATATTTACTGATGAAGTGATACAATCTGGGATTTGTCTCAAAATAACACAGGAGTGGGGTGGGTTGGGGAGAGGATGAAAGGGGTTTTGGATGAAAGAAGACTGGCCATGAGTTGGCAACTGTTGAAGCTAGGTGATGGGTACATGGGAGTCCATTATATACTACTCCATCTACTTATATGTTTGATATTTTCATAATAAGAGGTAAAAAAGATGAGTTTAGAGACAAATGAAGGAAATAAGTATGCATTCTGAAAGGCAATCTAAGACAGAGTTAAAGCTAGCAATGGTATAGTAGAAAAAAGTGCCAATTCTATGATCTATGTGATCTTGACATGTTACATAATTCCTTTACGCTATTTTTTTACCTGTGAAATAATGCAGTTATAGTAGATAGTGGATTTCAACCTTTTAAAACCAAGATCCACAGTAAGAATATATTTTACACGGTAACCTAGTATACAGAGACATAAATATGATACATATAAAAATTTCACTAGGGGCGCCTGGGTGGCTCAGTCAGCTGAGTGTCTGACTCGATTTCAGCTCAGGTCGTGATCTTGGGGTCATGGGATGGAGCCCTGCATTGAGCCCCATGTTTGGCGTGGAGTCGATTTGTCCCTCTCCCTCTGCTGCTCCCCGCACTCTCTCTCTCTCAAATAAATACATAAAATCTTTAAGAAAAATTTCACTAAATATTATTCTTTCTATGACTGATATTTGTCTGCCCTATTCCATTAAAAAGTTTCTCAGTACACTACAATGATTTTATTACTGCAATTTCTTGAATGGTGGCCCCCAAAAGATATGTCCGTGTCTTAATCCCCAGAACCTGTTAATTTACTTGGAAAAGGTGTCTTTGCAGATGTAATTAAGGATCTTGAAATGAGGAGATCCTTCTTTATCACCTGGGTAGGTCCTCAATTCAATGACAAGTGCTCTTATAAGAGAAATGCAGAGAGAGATTTCAGACAGACGATAAAACAGAAGAGGAGGAAGTAATGGGACCATGGAGGCAGAGATTAGAGTGATGTGGCCACAAGCCAAAGAACACCTACAGCCACCAGAAGCTGCAAAGGTAAAGAGCAGATTCTTTCCTAGAGTTTTTGGAAGGAAGACAGCCCTACTGACACTTGATTTCAGACCTCTGGCCTCCAGAGCTGTGAGAGAATTCTATTATTTTAAGCCACCATGTTTGTGGTGATTTGTTATGGCAGCCTCAGGAAACTAATACCATGACCTACTAAGATTACAACTTGCCATTGGAAAACACTGCACTAAAATGCTATCTCCGTACTGAGAGAAGCTCTAGTTCAGGAGGAGGAGGGATGTGAGGATGCTCAGTAATTTTTAAGAGCATAATGGGATCCTGAGAACAACCCCTGCCTCAACCAAACATCAGATTCCCTACAGTATTACTTGCAAACACCTGCAGAAATGACCTTCCCCAACACATAGTAGCTTTTGGCCCACTTTGGTTTTTAGTTATTTGATCCTTGATATTTCTGTTTCTTGAAAGTACAGAAGGCACAAGGAGGAGATGATAATGGGTTGGGTTGTCCATGTACAAGACTGTGCTGGTGGAGTGACTGGGATGGAGTGTTATGAAGAAAAGGAATACAGTTAGGAGTTTAGAACTACCTGAGTTTTCTTCACCTGTAAGCAAACTTTTTTTTAAAAGATTTTATTTATTTGAGAGAGAGAGAGACAGGGAGCTCACACACCAGCAGGGGGAGGGGCAGAGAAAGAGGGAGAAGCAGACTCCCCTGCGGAGCAGGGAACCAGACACCGGTCTCAATTTCAGGGCCCTGGGATCATAAACTGAGCCGAAGGCAGACGCTTAACCGACTGAGCCAACCAGGCACCCCAGCAAACTCTTGTCCTAATCAAAGCTCACAGAATATAGCATAAAGCTCCATTTTTCCTTATTACAACAAATAGTAGAGGCACAGTGTATTTAATACTTCCCAATCCCAGCATCACTGATAATAATGATCATAACAGCTAACATTTTACTGTTTATGATATTGCAGAAAGTATTCTAAGTACTCTACATGTATTAACTTATTTAATCTTTATAGCTGTGTGAAGTAAGTACAATTCTAAATTTTTAACTAATTTTTGAACTGGTAACATGTTCATATGGATCAAAGTTCAAAAGATATAGAACTTACAGGGAAAAGCCTTCCTCCCACACCTTTCCCCAAGTTACCCTGTACCCCTTCCTTGAGACAACCACTATTACCACTTTTTTTGTTG